ACTAAAACTATGCACGAAGTGTTGTTCTGTGCTAAGATGTCTCTTGTATGTTGGTGTTGTGAGAGTATATGTCTTGAATTGTATATGTTGTCTCTTTCCTTGGGTATATTGCCTAAAAAGGAAATTTTTAAGGATCTGAGAGATTTGCAGAAAGAGTTTTTTATTATTTTTTTTTTTTTTATGTAATATATATATATATTTTTTTTCTTTAGTAATTTCTTAAAAATCAATTTTTTAAAGAATAATAGACAATGACAATCTACTAGTAATAATGTTTAAATTAGAAGAATATTTGATCAAAATTTATTATAAAGTTAAATATTGTCTTTAAGATTGCACTTAAAGGTTGAAGCTTTTATGAGAATTAAAAGTTATTGGCAAGTGAATCAATATAAGATTTAATTTAATCATGATATAATTGTCTTATACTGTATATCTCTATTGATTTTCTTAATGATTAATAAAGATCAAACTACTATAATAGATCATATCATACTATGTACACGGTATATTCACGATCAAAAGATATATTAAAAATTTGAATATGAAACTTTTTGCAGCGCAATATCTGATGGCATTAAACGAATTAATACATTACGTAATACCTCTCATGAAATAATGACGATACAATCAGGGTAGATGTTGCGTCATTTCATTTTAAATCCAAAACGGTTTCAAAGTTCCTATCGATTATCCACCAATCTCAAAAGTGATTTCGAAAAAATTTTCAATTGGACTGTGTTTCCAGATACATGGGGGCTTTTGAAATAATGGAGCGGAAAATCCTAAAATCTGGGCCGATTTCAGGAAAGTCTCAAAGACAGCACACCGACAATAGGGACAAGCTTATCATCGAGAAGAATTTAACATGCATGATGTACACACAGTGTATAGCGCTCAATGTAAAAAAAAAAAGATTTAATTGGGCAGAACAACGCACCATTTTTTTTTTTCTTTCGATCGTCAATAAACGTTTATGAAACCCAAAAAGAGATTATTATGAACACAGAATTATCATAACTATAATCGATAGCCGTTTCTCTATACGCATACAACCATTTTAACCGCCATTGAGCACGATATTGTTACCGATGGTTGCAGTTACTTTTATTTACACATACCACACCTTCCTTTTTTACTCACCGTTTACAATACCTTTTGATAGTCCCCCGTTCTGTGAGTCTCATGGTCTTTTTTAAAGTCTCCTTTAAAATCGATGGTACAGCACATCTGACCATGCCCCTCGCTATACAATCGACGTCTGACTTACGTAATGTAAATATGCAGGCCTTATTCTTTTATCCGATAATAGAATCCGCATATTCAAAAAGGAAGGTATCCAAGGTCGGCTAACGCCTCATTTAATTTTAATTAGTGGGCAGGCAGGTTATATTTGAAAAAAAAAAATGCGCACCAAGTATTAACAGTACACTTGCGTGTTCAAATTAAAATAGTCATTTTTTTTTTTAAAAAAAAAGATATATGATAATGTATGTACGTATTTAAGTTGATGAATTATGCAAATAAAAACTTTTTGGGGGGTTAGTTACATTGATTCTTTTTCTGTGGCTTCCTTATTCGCCACACGGGATGTGTTATTTTTTTTTAAAAAAAAAAAAAAAAATCATCAAAACACATCGAAAAGGCAAAAGAGAAACCGGACCATAAATTCGATTAATAAATATATTTTGGAAGTTGGGGTTTAATTGAAAGTCAAAAATTTATGGTATAATCGATTGTTTCATAAAAAGGTGTGGGAGAAAATCGTAAATATGAGCGTGTGTGTGGGTGTAATGTGTGTGTGCGTGGTGAACCTCTCCTCCGTGATTAATCATGGCCACTATGTACTTGAAATCGCTACCAATAGCTGAATCTCATAATTACGTATCCCTATTAAATTACCGTTGCATTTAAGTTTCTTCCATGATGCATCCTCGGACTCCTGGAACTATCACCGTCCAATGATATTCGTCGATATCCTCTCTCAATAACAGAATTTCTAATTGATTTTCGACGTTCAGGGTCTCTCCAAGCGCACCACTGTAAAAATATGGTCACATCAAACGCCAATGTTCCAACTGATCCTAATATATATGGGATTGCTTCACGGAGATATTTTGAGTCAGAATCCACCATCGGGTTGGTAAATATTGATATCGTGTATGTTAGGTTGCCAAGGGCCGCAAAAATAAACATGAAAATAGAAAGTCCTTCGACCGATCTCCTTGTATACTTTTTTTTTTTTTTTTATGAAAAGAAATGCAAATTACAATCTAATTATTATTATTATTTTTATTATTATTTTTGTATTATTATTATTATTATTTTTGAAAGAAAAAAAAAAAAAAGTGCATACATTCTTCCATATTTGTGGCATTCTGCTGGTCAGATACAAGACTGTGCATGCCCATGCCATCAGTCTTCCCAGAAAAGTCACCTCAGGTGCAGGTTTGCTATCATCGGCGGAGAGCGATCTTAAATAGTGATGACCCGAGGAAGAGGTGGAAAGGGAAGAGGAAATTGTTGATGTGGAATGGAAAGTAAAAAGGAGGACAACGAAAACCATCGAGGAACTATACAAATGGTGTTTTAACTGAATTATAGTGACGCGCGATACGCACACACATATGCAGATGAGCAGAATTTGACTTACACTCGTCGATACCTCCTCGGAAAAGTATTGTAATTTCCTCTTGATGAAAATCTCTCTATTTCAATGGGTTTTTCCTCACTCTCTTTGCCCCAGCTGTAATAAAAATATTGAAAAAACAATCCAAGATCGACAATGCAGAAATACGTGGCAAGATATGTCTATTTTGGAAAGAAGAAAATGAGAGAAACATGCGCCATTTAATGTAATGTCAGACACTCCGAGATTTAAATTTTTACAAGTCACGTGTATACCTGAAATGGCAACTGCTTGGTGAGTATGCAGCCTATCAGATTCGCGATATCTCCTAATAGCCAATTGCACAAAAAGGATAAACTAAGCCCGTCCACTGATTTGTTACGATAGTTCGTTATGATCTGCCTGAAAAGAGCAAAGGGAATTGAGAATATGACGAGAAGTAGAAGGATGTTGAGGGAGTGCACATTAACTTACGGAAGTTGTGCATTTAACCAACACGCTATTGAAGCATATCCTTTAAGTTCACATAAATTCGGTGCAAATACTATTATTAGACCACGAATTACAATTTCATTTTCGGCTAGAAAGTCGACAATGATTCATCTACCTAAAAGAAAACTTATCGCATCCTTATTCCCATATCTACAAACTCCAAATAATGTATGTATCCACCGTACGTAGTGCTCACCATCAGGCGTTATTGGTACACAGGCTTCGAACATTACTTATTAATTATCGTACTATCGTTTCTACACGTTTAATAAAAGCAGGAAGGCTCAAAATCTTGGCGCGCACATTAGAAAAAAAAAAGAAGAAAAATTATATAGATAATTATATGGGTATATGTGGGTATAGAGATGTGGAAATACGTAAAGAGGGATGGTGGCCAGAGAAAAAGATCATTAAACAATCAAAACAGAGAAGAGAGGAGAGAGAGTTCACAGGCGAATAATTCAAAAAGGGGACTTTTTACAAAGTATTTAAATGATTAAATGAGCGTGAAAACAAGAGATAAGCATTCTTATTTCTCCTATCAGATATCATCAATGGCAATTTTCTGTGCACATCACTTGCATATATAGCAATTTACTTCCGCATAAATCTCATAGCTAATCTAATTTAACTGGCACGCATATATTTTAAATTCCTATCACGACACGAAGAGAGCAGGTTTTGTTTTGTCACGAGACTCGACACCAAAAAGCCCCCAAACAATCCCCGCATGCACTCAAGTCAGGTGTCAATCACAAATCTTCCATGTGTACATTGTATCGTATATTTAGCGTCGAATAGTAGTTCCGGGTGCGCTACAAAGGAAAATGGTTAGACGATAGTCGGCACACCTCTCGGGCTCAGAATTTTTTTTTTTTTTTTTTTTTTTTTTTTTTCAAAAAAAGACGAGTGACTTATCGGCACATACGTAATCATGGAACCAAGCCTCACCGGCGATCTTCGAGACATCCCGCCAATTTTGCTTGACCTGATCCGGATTACAATAAGAGGTTATTATGCGATTGTAATGCAAGTAAAGTTATGCATGAAAAACATTATGGTTTTTATGATTCGACGAATAGTATCACCACATACGTAGCTACCACATTACTTTGCCCCAATAGCTGTCACACATTCAGATTTCATACGTATGTATATAAAGAAGACGATCGTTATGCTACTTTTTTTATCAGTGAACGAACAACGATTATGGCACGAACCCAAATCTTGGCTCCATGTCTTAAGCATATTTTCATACACCTGGAACCCGAAGACGTAGCTCGTTGTGCTCAAGTGTCAAGGTTGTGGAGGGACGCCTCGTATTCAGAATCTTTATGGAAAAGGTTTTGTGACCAGAGGTACCTATCCTTCTTCCTCTCCCCCTCCCCCTCCCCCTCCTCTTCTTCTTCTTCTTCTTTTGTTTTTTTTCCTGCTTGTTTGTTTGTTTACTTCCGTTCTAGCCATCCAAAGGTAACATTATTCTCATCGATTAACTCTGCTTGCAAATCCTTTCCCACTCTCCTTTTTCGCACCGCGAATTCAATAGATGGAAATATTGGAAATCGAAGCCCAAGAAGGCCGATGGGTGGAGACAAATCTTTCTGGCACGAATTACGACTGATCGTTGGGCGTTTGGGATACTGGATGAATTAGCTGCCGGCGGTCCTTTCTACTTGGCTAATATGAAAAAATTGCGGCAGCTGGGTGATAACTGTCGAGACGTGTTACTTTGGGTCATGGATAATCCCAACGAAGTGAGACTTTATGCGGATTTTTCTTTATGGTTGTCCATCGCCGATTATTCGGCTTAGTTTTAATCGAAACTCTTTTTTTCCATAATGACTTCGCGTGAACTTCACCAGACGACCCTCACTCACTGTTACTTCGCCAAGCGCGCCCTTCAATTCATTCGTAGAAGCGAGACCATTCAAAAGTGGAAGGCGTGGCGTAATTATCAGTTAGAGGTCTCTAACCTTGAGGGCTTCGCGATGATGGCCACTTTTTTTAACGAGAGAATTGATGTGGATGAGATTTTACGAGAAATTGATGAATTGGCGATTGAGTTTAACTCCTTGTGCGCGAACAATCCGCCGGATTCTCAATTGACTAAATTTCGTCTACTTACAAACTTTTTTGGCGCGAAATATCCTTCTACTGCATCCGTTCTTGAAATTGAAACGAAATTCTTATACTTGGTCTCCCCCCTCTTAGAAACAAAGCAGAGTAAGGCTTGTGTAATGACTGTTCTGTTTGAAGCTTTGGCGGCAAAAGTCGGAATCGAGAATGTGGACATAGTGTCGGATCGTGATAAGCTGACTTTTAGGAGGTACCATTTCGTTCGTTTCAGAGACGAGGAGAATTCGACGTCAAATATGATGGACCATGATTCGAAAAGTGAAATGAACTCGGATGACGAAGCGTTGGAGATCAATATTTACCACGTCGATTTCCAAAAGCATTCGGAAACTGGCGTGCTCACCGTGGAGCAATTTGATAGGCATAGTTCGAAGTATTACGGGGCTTATACGCCAGAGTACAAATTCATTCCTCAACAGAAACTGTTCAGATTGTTTCTACAAGACTACTGGATTGCTCTCACTACGATTCGTGGGTATAATCGTGACATCATATATGGTACAGCTCTTCAACTTCATTTCGTCAGATCCCCAGAATATTTAGATTGCACGCTTGGAGATTTGTGTAAACTCATGAATTTTTGGTGGTCGTTTGTTGCTGCAAGGTATAGATATCCGGAAGATTACGAATTTGGACGAATGGCGTTGGCAGACATTAGTAATTATATATCGGGTGGCACTCCGGTGGAGCAAGATATGTGGCAAAGATTGGCTGAAGACGTGAATGAGGATATAGAAGGATTGGAAGATGATGATTGTGCAGATTGGGATTTTGAATCGGGTCAATCTTTACGAGGGCAATTGGGGAAGAAAGATCCAAAATTTTATGTTGGGGATGTTGTGAATTTCAAAAAATTTCACAGTCTCGGGGTGGTGTGTCGTTGGGACAGAGGTATGAATTAATTTCGTAGTTTGTATCCACGAGACATTCATTTCCCGTCATTCGCGATTATACTTTCGTGTAACGGCGTCGTAACCGATGATGTTTTGATCATGTAGTTTATAATAGTGAATTGGCCGAAAATGTGGCAAAATTTGTGTGGACGGTAATTAAGTTACCATTACTTCAGCCCTTTATTTTCGTTATGTCCCACTCGAGTATACTAACTTCATACTGCTCAGGATCTGGAATCTCCTCGTAATGAGCCGTTCTACGAAGTACTTACCCATCGAGGTTCATTTATTTACTGCGGACAAAGGACTCTAATACTTGAACCTCTGAATTCGGAGCGGTTATTGAGGATGGTCCCCACAAATGTGTACGGAGACTTTCTTGGAAATGAAGCCGATTGGGAATTGGCTAAGGCACTCGGTCCCATCACCACAGAGTTAGTCGGATGCTATTTCGAAAGATGGGACCAAGAAAGTTGCAAATATATTGCGAACGAGGTCACCTCGAGGTGGTTTCCGGACGGTTGATTTGCAGAGTATTATTTAAAACATCAATGGTGAGGTGAAATAAGAAATGTATTCATGGGCTTTATATTCAACGTTGCGACGCACATTTTGACGTCTCGTTTTTTTTTTTTTTTTTTTTAACGAAGATTTTTATAATTCAACGAAAACGCGTAATATTTCACGATTTGGAGATTTCACATACAAAATCGAATTCACGAAATCTTTTGGTCGACCATTCCCTTGCATACATAAATTTTGAATGTTGATAACACGAACAATTGGTTTTTTCCTTTCCTTTTTTTTTTCTTTTTTTATTATTATTATTTTTTTTTTTTTGTTTTTTTTTTTTTTTTTGCATCGGTACTAAATTCTCGACAATTTCAGTGGTCATAATCTGTACGCTGGTTATGACACTGATCTTTTAATTTACGGTGGTGAATTATCATCTGTTCTCGTCAAAAGTTCAATTCGATATTTATATTGATTTAATCCCTTTTCTTTTTTATATTAGCTTATTTCTTTGCACGCACGTTTCGTATGACAACGCAATTCGAACGCTGATTAGCTCAAAAAAAAAAAAAAAAAAAAAAAAAAAAACAACAAAACAAAAAAAACGATTCTGTACTCTCATCTTCATATTTTATTACGGACCACATTTTCTTTGTAAATATTTTACATACCCCCTCCCCAAAACCAGTAAATAATTAACCAAGAAAAAAAAAAAAAATCGGCATTCGGCATTATACTTTCTTAAGAAAAAAAAGATTTACGAAAAATGTAAATGATTTTAGAAAAAAAAAAAAAAAAAAAAAAAAAAAAAGATTCGAAAATTCAGGGCTTTTAAAATAAAAAAATAAAATTTATGAAGAAAATTCGTTTGTCCTGTAAATGCTAAGGTATGTATGTACACACGCATTTGATGATCTACAGAGACCAAACTGGTATATGCAAAAAGGAACTCAGAATCAATCCAAATATAGTATAATTAATTTGCTAACGTAAAATACTTTTTTCAGGTCCGTTATTGAATTGAATCGCATTAGATTTTTAAAGACGAATATACATATTATATACGCGGTAATGAAAGTACCATTAATACGGTAACTCGTATAAATAATTTAAATAGTCTGTGTAATAAACAGAATCTAAAGTTTATTTAAAAAAAAAATATTTTGACTACGGCATTATTTATAAATTTTAAAATAATTCTTTGTATTTAAAAAGTTTAATATATTTATTAGGGGAAATGTCCCATGACTGTTATACAATTCAATAATAGATACCTTGATAATTTATATAAGCAAAAAATTTTTATATACAGTACAATTGCTTCCACAAGTTTGTGAGTTCACTTATTATGTTTTTTTATTTAGAGTTTTGTTATCATAAATCATGTGATAATTAATAAAAAAATAAAATAAAAAAATAAAATATAATAAATTTTATGTAATATTACGTAATACTTTTTTTTTACAAATTTTTCAATTGCAAAATCTCAACAACTTATTTATTAACTTAGATCCAAATTTTTTTATTTAATAACTACATAAATAAAAAAATATTTATAATATTTAATATCATATAAGATATTCTTTTGAATTAATATTTAAACCATTTCTCTTACAATAAATTTATAGTTCTGATTTACTATTTGGTAGAGAAATACATTTACGAATATTATATTTCAATTCATTCCAAAGATATTTGATAGGGTTGAGATCAAAACTATATGAAGGTCAAGAAAATTGTTTAATATTATTTTTTTTAAATCAATGTAAAGTAAGTTTAATAGTATGAATTTTGATATTATCGTCTTGAAATATATAATAATTTTGATCAACTATATTCTTTAGATTAACTAAATATGATAAAAAATAGCTTTGAAGAATTTCTATATAATCTTTTATATTCATATTCCCATTAACTTTAATTAAAGATTCTAAATTATATATATCAAATCTAAAGATGGGTCTCTAAAAAAGGAGACAGGAATAAAAGTCAAATATCTTTCACTAGAAAAAATTAAAATTTTTAAATTAATAACTATAAAAAAACTATCCATAATTATTCTTCATTATCTAAATTATTAATTTATAACATTTCCTAACTTTTGTTTCTATTAAAGTGAAGAGTTATTAATTTTGTCTCTCAAAAGGAGATATAAGTGATTTATGAAATTTTATATGCTAAATACTTTAGGGATCCATTATTAACTAAAGTACCTTAAATTATTACACTTTTTTATTCTAATTTGAATATTGGAACTAAATATTTAATATTATACTTTTTTTTTTATTTTTTCTATATACTATATTTATTTAATTATTTTCTTTAAATATTTCAAATTATAACTTATTGTTTCAAACAATGTTTGGTTATCTTTGATTCCAATACTGTATTTTTTTTTCTTTTATACATTGTAAATAATTTATATGTTTGTTCTTATTTATAAATAATTTTCTTTTGTCAACTTGATTAAAAAACACCTCTTTATAAAGACAATATTATATAGTATATTTGGATATCTCTATAGAAGTTGATTCAATAAACTTATTTATTAAAACATTCAGTATAACTTTTTAATTTTGTTTTAAAAAAATAACAAGATAACAAATATCATATTCAATTATTTTAGAAGGCTATTTAGAACAAAAAAAAAATTTTATTTCTTCAGTTGTTTTGTAATATATAATCACATTATCAACAGTAGTTTTAAGTAATTTTAAAGCCATAAAAAAACTTCTTTCACTAATTCTTTGATCACATACAAAAAAGATATTAGCAAGAAATTTATATTTCCTTACTAATAAAGTCTTTATACTTTTATTAAAACAACTTGAAGCTTGTTTTTACTTATCTCTTCTACCCTTCTTTACTTATTTATAAACTTCTTTGAATAAAAACTTGAGTCTTTAGTGGCCTAAAAAGACTCAAGTATGCATTTTCTCTACTAAGAACAAGAAAGTTTTAGGAAGTAAAAGAACTAACAAGTGGAGTGTTATCTTATGGAGTTGAAAACAATAAGAAATAGAAGTTTTGTTGACAGGAGAAAGCTTATTATCCACCTTCTTATATACTGTCTTGTACTCTCTTAAAATGTTTACTGTTTTTTATAGTTTTCTTGAAAAATTTTGCCTATCACAGTTTAATCCTGATTTTCGGTAACACAATATCACCTGATATCTAATTGGTTGACACGAAACACATTAGTAACTGAATATAAACAAGTTCCTACTATTCATCTTATGTATTCTGATAATATTATTGATAATTAAAAGAGTTGATTGATATCTTATATCCACTCCATTTTTTCAATTGGATTAACTTACAGATCAAGTTCCATGAGATTTATAAATACAAACAACAAGTTCTTGAATAGTGAAAAAGCTACTATTTGTTTAAGCTGAGATTTTTCTCTTTTATCATCCCAATCAAACAAAGTTCAAGATCAAGGTCTCTTTTTTATCACGATTAGGCAATAAAATTAAATATTTTCTAATCTATACTAAGCTTCAATTCTTTGATTACAATTGAGAATACATTTTTCCAGAAATTATTGAAGAATATTGTAATTAACAAGAATTCCTATTACTTTCAAGACTCTTTCATCATTATAAAACAAAAAAATTATTGGAAAATTTGACTTTTTGAATAATAAAAGATATATATATATCAGTAAAATTCCTTTAATTAGACATAGCTACTGGAAGATATTATACTAAAACAATATAACCCAGTTTCTATTAGATCACATAAAAACCTGGAATCCATTATAAATCACCTCTCTATTACATATGGATAAAAAATTACTGTCTAAAGAAGGTTGAAACCAAGTGTGTCCTAGAAGTAAAGGTTTCCACTAGATAATAAGTTTTTTTAGATAGTATACAAGAAAAAAATCAAGATCAAAAATGGATAAGTTCCTCAAATGGTCAAAAAAAAAATAATATCCTAATTAGATATTTTTTATTGAGAAGAGGTCTTGAGAAGTAGGTCTTTGAAAGAAGCTGAAATTTTTTTTTTCAATTTTTATCTTTTTATTTTCTTGTTATCTATTTAATTATTTTTAGATATTTTTCTTTTTTTTTTTTTTTTCAACTCATCCTTTTATAGTTTCCTGTATTCCAGCAGCTTGATAATATATACAATAGTGACAACCGGCTAGTATTAATATAGTAAACTAGGAAGGTTTTTACCCAAAGTCACTGTGAAGCAAAATATTGTCCCCAAGGCTAAACCTAAAGGCTTTTATGCTTATAATGAGTTGGTTAGATTAGAATAATAGTTTTGTTTGAATAAAAATATACTTATGTTTTCAATTGATTAATAAATTAATAATCTAGCCTGGCTATAAGTACTTAAAAAATAAAAATATATAATATATAATTTTAGTGATTTTCTCAAAAAATTATATTCAAGTAATTAATAAATAAAAAATAAAATAAAAAACTATATAATAAATGCAATTATAATAAAATACAATATTAAATAAATATATCTATAATATCTTTTGTTATTTTTTTTTTTTTAATAGTCATACTGACTGAGCTTTATTGATCAGTTATGAAAGAGTCATACAGAGTTATTTTTACAAGAGCGATTCTTATAGCTAATCTATATTATCCTAAGCCATTCAAACACCCTTATATTTTACTTGATATGGATACCATCCTGTCAGCTGCCCTGCTATACCTGGGCACTTCTGATATTCCTAGGATTCACCAGAGGACTTCTATTTATATTTAAGAAGCTGTTGAGATTGTTCGAATCTAGGGAACTTGTATACCTTATGGGGGTTGTGTTCCATAATTTGACATCTTTAATCATGCTTAGTTCTCAGAAAGTTAGTCATCCAGTAATATTCTTCAGTTTTCATGTGATCCTATCAAGTTTTCCGGTGGCCATTGGTGAGCCAGATTGATGACCGTAGTCTTCCAGTAACCATTTTTAACCACTCCTCAAATATGTTTGTAGGAGTTTCTCTTGATTACTTCATAACAGATTGCTTCTTCCAATAGAAT